ATTTATGTTTACTTTATAATCTCTGAAACAGCTGCTGCAGCTGCTTTGATTCTGGGAGTTTGTAAATGCTGAGTCAGCTACATTTCACCTCATTATTTTGAGTACTAACCTTAAAATGTGTTGGTCTGAGGCAGTCTGCAGGGACACGTCCCCTCCTCGCAGGGACACGTCCCCTCCTCACAGGGACACGTCCCCTCCTCGCAGGGACACGTCCCTCCTCGCAGGGACACGTCCCTCCTCACAGGGACACGTCCCTCCTCGCAGGGACACGTCCCCTCCTCGCAGGGACACGTCCCCTCCTCGCAGGGACGCGTCCCCTCCTCACAGGGACACGTCCCCTCCTCACAGGGACACGTCCCTCCTCGCAGGGACACGTCCCCTCCTCGCAGGGACACGTCCCTCCTCACAGGGACACGTCCCTCCTCGCAGGGACACGTCCCCTCCTCGCAGGGACACGTCCCCTCCTCGCAGGGACACGTCCCCTCCTCGCAGGGACACGTCCCCTCCTCACAGGTCCGCTGTGCAGAAAACTGTCTCAGTGAAAACTGCAGGAAACAAGTTGATAAATAATTAGTTGTTTAATCTGAGAAAAGTGGTTCAGAGCAGAATAAAGTCTGAGCTGACCTCTGACGGGTCCATCTTTAAACTGAAGAACTGATGTCTGGTTTTTGTCCCCCCCTCCAACAGAGATTTATCGCATCGTCTCCCAGAAGCAGATGTCGGAGCGCCAGGAGAGCGACATGTCTCCCAGCAACAACGTGGTCAACATCCAGGTGCAGCCCACCGAGAACAAACCAAAGATGCAGTGCTGTCAGAACATCTAGCCCAGCTGTGGACCTGCTCCCCCCTCCCCTCCCCTCGTACCTCCCCTAACCCCGCCCCCTCAGAGAACAGACTATCCAGGTGTGGAAAGATTGAGCTGCAGATTAAAGCCTGCACTGAACTCCACCTGCCCCCCCAGTAAATAAACCTCTGTATAAGACAACAAGCCCCGCCCCCTCCTGTCTTTAGGCTACTGCAGGACAGCAGGCGTCTCTCTGCCCACCTTAGTTTGCTGGTGTAGGTGCGCTGAGCTGTCACAGAACAGTCTTATATCTGAATGTSATTCCTTTTCTTTCTCCACCTGTTTGAACGACTCGTCTCGTGTCTTCTTCATATTTATCAGTCTGAAGCACATCGACCTGAAGCTTTCCTGTCGCTGTAGCCCCTCCTCTGTAGTGCAGTGTGCAGACAGCGGGGGTGTCCTGAGCACGCACGCTGGCGCCATGTGTGAGCGTGACCTGCAGGGGGCGCTCTGCTGCCTGACCTGTGTGTTTACAGAGGACTGAAACAGACAAAAATCATTTATTCTGCCTTTAAATTCTGTTAATGTTACATATTTCTGTTAGTTTGTATTTTTGTTTAGGAAAACTTTTTTTTAAACTTTAATAGATTTTCATTTTACATTACCAACAAATACAAACATACTG